TTTCATATTTTTGTGGTTTAAAAAAAAATACATATGGTTCAGAACGGATTAACCGTATTTAAATTGAACCTTATGGGAAAATTTGATTCAGTTGGCGACCAATTCGGTTCGCGACCAGAGTCGTGGAATGAATTAAGTTCGTGAACCAAGGTACCACTTATACAGTATTATACAATAATACTGTTCCGGCTTACATACAACCCAACCTAAGGATAGACCTTGGGAACAGAACTCGTTCTTAAACTAGGGACTACCTGTATATGCACTGTATACTGTGATCAGTACCAGTTTCTATGGACTGCTCTTCTCCAAAACCTGGATCTAACAGTCGTGTTTTTCTTTGTTTCCTATTCTGCTCTATATTCATGGCTGAATCAAAATGTATTAAAGAAGGGATTAACATATTACATTTTAATTTACTGAGAGGAAAAACAAAATGAATCTATGATGCAGCTGTTGCATGTATAGTTAGTAGCATTTGTCTGAGTTTAATTCTATTTGCATCTTTGCGAAGCTCCAGTCAGTTATGTCTGCTTCCAACAATTTTACAGCAAGTTTGCTGCCAGTTCTTATTTCAGTTTGTTTTATTTACATATCACATTTATACAGTCGCCCATCTCACACAAAGCAACTCTGTTACTAAAAGAGCTTATTCTCAAGGACACCACTGGAATGGTTTTCTCTGGAATTTTTACAGCTATGACATTTCTTTCTGAATTTACAATACCAGCATTTTCTTGATGGGGTAGCAGTTTTGCAGTTAGTAAGCATTGTTGGGAGATGAAATCAGTAATAATTTCATTTGTGCATTCTCCTCCTGACTATTTTCTAAAATTAATGCAGTTGCTGAATGAGCAGTAGGTGGTAGCCTCAGCAGAAGGGGCTATTGAAGTGGAGACACCGTGAATTCTCCCAAAGAGTGAAGAGTTTTAATAGCTATTGACTATTAGACTGTTTGGAAGTCTTACTCTAGGCACATTCTGTTATTAGAGTTACAACTTTTATCTTCATTACTCCTAGAAAGTTATCAATTGGGCTCCATATTTTAGGAAGAACACAGATAAAACTTGAGCTTGCCTAGAGGGAACTACCTATGTTGACAAGTAGCCTGGAAGGAAAATATATAAGGAATCATTGGCAGTACCGTACAGGTTTTACATCCTAATAATACATCAGATTATTATTAATATTGCACCAGGCAATACATCAGCTGCATTTGGAGTAAAACAGGGTTGTGTGCTAGCCCCAGTCCTGTTCAATCTGTTCTTCACTTGCATGTTATCGCATGCTGCAAGGGTCTGAAGGAGGGAGTATACATCAGGTACCGACTGGATGGCTGTCTTTGACCTTCGCTGCTTGACTGCGCTGACAAAGTGTCTCCATACAGTCACCAAAGACTCTTTGCTGATGACTATGCGCTCCTGGCACACACAGACAGTGATCTACAGTTGATGCTGAACAAATTCTCAGATGCTGCTCTGCTCTTTGGCCTGACTATCAGCCTGAACAAGTATGAAGTAGTTTACCAGCCTGTGCCAAATACCAACCCCACAGAATCAAATATCACTGTTGATGAGATCCAGCTGACAAATGTAAACAGCTTCAAATGCTTGTGAAGCATCATCTCTAGCGATGGGTAATTGGACAAAGAAATCAACTCCAGGATCAGCAAGGCCAGCCAGGCACTGAAGTGGCTGCATACTAGAGTATTCAATCAACACAACATCTATATCTCTACAAAGGTGAAAATCTACAGAGCTGTGGTTATCCCTTCTCTCCTATGTACCTGTGAGTCCTGGACTCTGTACCAAAAGCACATCAAACAACTAAAGAAAGTTCATATGTGCCCCTCCACTCTATCCTTGGCATTCGTTGGCAAGACCATGTCTCCAACATGGAGGTCTTGGATTGTGCAAAGTCCACCAGCATTAAGTCCCTGATTATCAGAGCCCAGATGCGGTGGGTGGGACACAGCATCAGAATGGATGACCACCATATGCCTCACCAGTTGCTCTATAGTGTACTGGAGTCTGGGACAAGACCCTGAGGTTGACCATGCAAGCGCTACAACAATGCTGTGAAAGAAACCCTATGTCACTGTGACATCCAGCCAAGGGAACCAGAAGCTGCAGCTACTGACAGAACCCGCTGGTAAGCCCTTGTGCTATGAAGCCTGGTTTTGAAGACAGGCACCAACAACTGTTAGAAAACTGTGAGTAGCATCACAGAGTAAACCCACAATGACGACAACAATGGACTTCCAGTGCCCCCATTGTGCTAGACTCTGTGCTTCCAGACTGGGACTATAAAGCTACTTCCATGTCCACAGATGAACTGCACAAGAGCATGTCTTCTTCAAACCCAAAGGACTACCATATACTGTATTGGTTTGTTTACCCTGAAGAAGAGAAGACTGTGGGGAGATGTGATCGTTGTCTTCAGATGTCTGAAGGACTGTCATGTGGGTAGAGTTATTCAAAGTTGTTCCAGAGCTCAAAACAAAAACCAATGGGATGAAATTACAAGGAAGTCAATTTCAGCTGGATAGCAGGAAAAATTTCCTAACAGTAAGAGCTGCTCAATAATAGAGCCCGTGGAACATCCTTTACTGGAGGTATTTAAACAGAGCCTAATATAGCCCATGTGTATCTGTGTGTGTGTGTGCACACTGTAGTAGTGGATTCATAAAGTGGGCAGAAGATTGTACTAGATGAATTCTAACACCCTTCCAACCCTCATATTCTATGACTGACAGTGGAGGAAAAGGGTTCCAGGCTGTTAAGTTTTCACTGCTTATTTGGAAGAAGGGAGTGTTTCTAAAGGGAAGTTCTGTGCCTACTCACAAAAATAACTGAGAGTGTGCCTTTAGGTACCTGTCACTATCCATAAATACCTCTTTACTTTTGCAGAGGTTCTTTGCTATCCACAAGTTCACGTAGTAGGATGTATGTATGTGTGTGTGTTTGTATGTGTGTATATATCTGTGTGTACACACATAGGGAGGGAGGGAGAATATGAAGTGTATGTATATAAGGACAGGGGCAAACAAAACAGAAAAAACCTATAAATATCTATTAAGGAAAAAAGGGAAAACTAATTAAGAAGAAGAAAGGAGAATTAACACAGATTGGAAAATAATGAATATTCAAAAGAGGTCAAAGTGTATCAGAGAGAGGGATGGGAAGAGTGAGCTGAGAATGAAAAAAACAGTCAAATTAAGAAGAAATTAGAGAAGTAAATAATGGTTTCAGCATCTGGAATAAGAAGAGAAAGTGTAGAAGAGAAAATTTAAGAAGTATCTAGTAAAAAAGATTAAAACAAATTACAAGTGCTACAGAAAAAAAGGTTAAATGCACTGAAATATAATCTGAGAAATGAACATGAAAAATAACATATCTCTATACTGAGAGGTTACATGAATTCAGGAAGGAAGAAAGTGTGGTGAAAAGCATCAAAAGAATCATAACAAAATATATAAGAATGAAAAACAATGCATGTTATGGGAGGCAAAGAAGTTAAATATTCTAAGAAAGAAAAACAGTAACAAGAAGGGTTAAGAACTTAATAGCAATAAGCATCTAAAGAAGTGACAGATTTGATAATATATTTTAAAAAATAATCAGATAAAAATAGATACAGCAATCTTTTTTCTTTTAACTTAGGATAACAGGAAAACTGAGCAATGTAAAACAGAGTCTTTCTTCATTATTTACAGCATCACTAGAATGACCCAGCAACTTCAGTTCTACCCCCTGTCCAAACTATGTTGCCCTTATCCCAGGCTATGAATCCTGTATTCTCTATACTGCAAAGCATCGGTCACTTACAAAACACAAAGGAAAGAAGAGAGAGTCAGGATAGTTCATTATTATACCAGACATTCTTTCTTTCAATAAGATGAAAGGGCTGGTCCCACTAAAGTTTACTACTGCTAAGATGACAAAGCAAGTAAATAACTGCTGGACCTTCTGCCCCCAGTTTGGAAATAAGATTTTCAGCTGTCATAGTCAAAACTATTTAGTGGAGTCGGTGTGGCTGACTCTATATCCAGGATCTAGTCTTCCTTTTGGGCCAGTCACTGTCTCTCAGGCCAAATCAGCATCAGGCTCTTTGACAAGCTGGTTGAAAAGCAACCTCCCCCCATCATATCATGCATCAGGTGAGAGCAATGCAAAACGGGTGCAAATAAGTGGGACAAACATTAAGAAAAACATCATAGTCAAAATTGTTTACCTTTTTTTCTGAGATGCAGTTATCCCTTGGTAGGTAAAAAACAGAAGATCAATCAACCACGGCAGATGTTCTATAAATTGTTGGATTTATATCCTGCCTTTCACATAGGAACTCAAGGCAGGATGTGTAGTGCTCCCTCCTCATATTTTCCAGCCCAAGACCAACCCAATAAAGTAGGTTGGGCTGAGAGAGAGACACAGGCCCAAAATCACACAGTAGCCGAATCTCCCCATTCCTAATCTAACACCTTCATAATGGGACTTTTAACAAAGATTATTAATAAATATTAACAAAGCTGGATATAATTTAAGCTACTCTGTTAAGTAGCAAAAGTCAGTGGAAAGAAAATCAGAAAGATTACCTAGTGGTAGGTGCAAACACAGCTTCAAATAATATATTCCTATAATATTTTCTATCTATGTAATATCTCAATATACATTAAAGGAATAAAATTCAGTATTTCCCAAGTCTCATAAAAATCAGAAGTACCCATAATGAACATGAGGAAAAAAAAAATCCAAGCAAGATGTTTAATTCCTGTTGCAACTCTGTGCACCTGATAAGATCCGATTGGAGTGAAGGAACATAATAGTGAGGTGTTATATTTATTTATGAAATTTACACACCACCTCAATCCGATTAAAGTCTAGGTAGTTTACAATATATATGATAAAATATAATACACCAAACAATAATATAGAACTATAAATAATATATATAGAAAACTAAAAGTATACATGCTTTGTCTAGAAGTCTGGGGCCCACATCAGAATGTCTTTATAACCCGATACAATGCAAAACATAAAATATGTTACATAGGCAAAGATTTGAATTATGATTTTAGATTATCAATTTTTCATTTTATTGCAAACCATATTCTAATTATTAAAATGGGTGCTTGTTCAGGAAATAGAAATTCAGTTCAATGATTCAAATAACTAATGTATCCTGGTGTTTTGTTTTTTGGAGATTTACATAAATGCAACCCACCTCACAAGGTTATTGTTGTGGAGAAAAATGGGAGGAATGAGCACTACATACATTGCCTTGAAAGGGGGAGGGGGTATAAATCTAACCAATAAGTAAAAATAAATAATGCGTAAATATGTTTATGATTATTACAAACTCTTAATGCATCTGTTTACTTACTTTTCATGTATTCTTCAAAACCTTCTTTCCCAAGTTTCAGAATCATTTGCTGTTTCCACTTCTCCAGGTAAAACGCCTGTTCTACAGGCATTGTCTGCTGCAGAACAGAGGTCACGCTGGCCCAGGCGTTCTTTTGCAAATGGATTTGTAAGGGCAGCCCCTGGTCAACTTTCTGATGCAAAGAGCTCTTCCTGGGATTCATTAGAGGAATCCAGTTCTCGGGAAGTTTTGTTTCTGTCTCATTAGCTGGAAGCTTATATTGACACCCTGCATTGTCTTCTTCAAATGGCTTGGATCTGTCAGATCTGTCCTTGCCTGAAGTGAGGTAATGGATCAAATTTCCATATTTTTGGGGGTCAATGTTTTCATACTCTGTCCTTTTCTTCTTATAAAAAGGGGAAGAAATAGTGAGGGATCTATGTGAAAGTTTTTTCTCACTCAACAATGTTGTTAATACTGGCAATCTTCTACTTTTTCTAAACAACAGATGGAATGACCCCATACTCCAACTTTACAAATGGTGCGATCCCTATTCTTTGTTTTCAGGAAACTTTTCTTCCAATTCCTAGTGAAAAAGATAACATGTTTTAATTATTTACTATAAATTGCCACTACTTTTGATAGGAGAGGCTTTATCATCTGAAGTGCTTCAAACTGCAAATTATGAAGTACTAATTACAGAAAAGTATTTAGGGTATAATTAATAATACCATTATGTCTTTAGTTGCCTCTAGTTATTGTAGGATTTTATGCTGTGTGGGGGCACGTTTTTAGTTATTATGCTTTATTTTCTCAGAAGTAAATGCCAGTAAATCAGTGAAATCTATTCCTCATTATTGCCTGAGTTGCATAACACACTTAATTGAATCAACCTAGTGAATGTTGGATTTATCTTGAAGCAACTCCAAGTTTGTCCAGGGTTAAACTAAGTCCTTTCAGCTGACTAGTTCTTCTGTGTTATCCAAACTCCATATTATGGAGTTAACTGACTTTGTTCCAGGACTGAGATCACTTCCTAGAGAAGGTCCATGCTCTCTCTAAACTCCTGTCCCTTTAATGGTTGTTATTCTCTCCCTCTCAGCCCAAATTGTAATTAATTACAATTAGCTAACTTCTTCAGCAAAGCTGAAGCTGAAAGCAAAATAATAACTAATACAGTAATAAACTATCCAATGGCATTATCAATTAGATCAGTCATCCCAAACTACAAAACCTGGGGAGACTGCTGAACTTAGAAAAAGTCAGCCAAAGAAAATTTTAGAAAGCAAAGAAGACATGACTTCCTGTAGCCTTCTTCCACCCATCCTACTTCTGAAAGCAGGCCTCCCAGTGAGGGATAACAATCTAAGCCAACTAAGTTGGTGCTTACTAGAAATAATTTTCAAAGAGCAATTTAATCAGGGCTGATGCCTTATAGAGCACCTCTCCCCACTGGAGGGAAAGAATGAAAAAGACAGTAGGAGGGAAGTGACAGCTCCCAGCCTCTTTTGGGGTGGCTAAAAAAAAAGGTTGCTGCAGGACAAATCCAGCCATCCATCCTCTAGGGAGATAATTAGCAGCTTATCTGTGATTTAAATTGCAGCTCAAAAGAGATTTTAGGCAGACTGCCACGTTGTCGAGCATGAAAAGTGTTTAAAGCTGAATAAAGCTACAACAACGAGAAATGGTTGTGAAAAGGCAGGCTATAAATCCAAGAAACAATATGGGGAACCCGGGGAAGTGGTGCAAGTGCTTCCACTCCTAGGACCAATCGAAGAAGACTCCCCCTGCGAAGTAAACAGAATCACATACAGGCTTCCAGCAAAGCAAAGTTGCATTACAGTATTAGCGTCAGAGATTTTAGGAGGGAAAAGAAGCCAGGACTCCAGAACGGGTGATTTGGACACTGGCTGATTTGGAGTGGAAGAGCGTTTCTGAATAACGGGAGGGGGGAGGGGTGGCTGCTTTGCTGCGACGGGAAACAAAAAGTTGATTCGAAGGATATTGAACACCCTGCCTCCAAAATCACACACCAACGACCTTTTCGAAAAAGGAAGCCTGTGAAGTCTGCTTTCTTGAACTGCCCAGTAAATCTGAAGAGGCTCTCGGGACTAACACCTCGTTCCTTAGGAATACGAGACGTTTTCTGTCCTACAGTGCCATCATACCCCACCCTGGCATATTAAGCCGCTTCTCTTTTCCAGGGAGAAAGCCATCCCTTCTCCAACGCTGCGGCTCGATCCCTCTTCCCGCACGAGCGTCCCAACTCCGCTTACCCCCCTCGATTCAGTTCCACTCGCCAAGACAGATCAGTTCCGCTGCAGCCCTCGAGCGGCGTGTGCAGTTTTCATAGACGCACCGCGCGCGAGAGAGTTGAGAGATGGCTTTTCCCGGGAAGTCGAAGGAACGGCGGAGGCAAGGGCAAGCCGCTTCCAAAAACAAACACATCAAGCATCCCTGTACGTCCTCCATGCCGGTGAACTTACCAGAAGTTGAGCTGAACTCAAAGAACATGTTTTCAATTTAGGTGCAGGCCATAGCGGCCTGTAACAAACGATCGCTCTTTCTTTCTCCCTTCCGGTGCGGGACGTTTCCTTCTCAGGACGAAGGATAATTAAGAAAGATCTCGTGTTCTTTTCAACTCGTGCTTTATTTCCGACAGGGAGGAAAAGAACAGGTACTTTTTGCAAAGGTTTGTCCGGGTGTTTTGTTGTGAATCTAAGTGCACGTTGCTCTTACGCTCAGGGCTTCTGCTACCCGGTTACTCCTGCAAAGAAGGCAGTAATGATCTTGGTCAGCGCGGCAGAATGTGCACGCTCTAGTTCACACGTAGCTGCTTTAATTCTCCGCAAAAGCATTGCCCGGCAAAAAGAGTCTCGTGCATTTTTTTCTCTTTTACTACTACTAAAGGTTTGCATTTTCTTATCTCTATGGTGAAGGCAAAATGGGCGGTGCTCTGCCCTCGCAGAGCAGGAAATATAAGGAGATGATGTTGAGGAGCATTTACGCAATTAGAAAACGACCGGGAGCTGCCGCCGCAGGATTATGGCTCTGGTCGTGCCGCAGCCGAGCTTGAGCGAGGTAAACAGGATGAGCGAAAGGAGGAAAGAGCCTCGGAGCGGAAAGGCCGGTCGGCGTCCGGATGCGTATAATTGTTAGATTTATAAATATAAATCCGTCAGATGTTTTTGTATTCTGTAATTTGAAGCCAAGTTAATATTTATTATTCGGTCTAAGCATTTTAGTATTGGGGTTGGTGAGAAAGGCTGAGAACTGAAGGAGGTGTGCAACCTTAGCATTGCAGTGAAACAGAAGCACCAAACTGTGGGCGATGTGTGGGTTCTTCCTTTTCTTCCCACATTTTCTTTAAAATGTTGATCTGCATTTCTATGAAAGTAGTATTTATGTAAATAACGGGGGGCTACCACTCCCTGTTGAGCTGTGTTCCAGTCCTCCTATTCATTTCTCCACGAATCTTGGCAGCAGGATCGTCTGTGTGTTTACTTGGATATTCTGTATTCTAGAATGCAGATTGATCTATTTCATTAGACTGTAAATTTGCTTTTTAACAAAGACATTAATGATCTATGAATTGTTCAAAATGTTAGTGGAAGGAGCTACTTTAGATAATAAAGGATTTTGGTATTACTCATTGTTCCAGAATGGAAGGGAGGCAAAATTGGCTTGCAGAGTTAATTACCAACTTACTTAAAATGACACTTCCTAAGGCTTTCCCTTTCTATCATAAAACTTGATTTTCTGTACAAAAAGTGGGATATTGTCCCTCTCCCCCTCCCTTTACTGTTGTGGATTTTAACCTTTCCTTTGCTTGACCATGTGGAGATCCCAGCACAGGCATCAGATGAGAATTAACTGCCAGTAAGGCTCTGGTGAGTGGGAGTGTGAAGGAGCTCCACTGATGAAGCGATGAGTTCCACTTGTCCTAGAATAGGTGGGGTAGCAGTCTATGCTGATTGCTAACAGCCAGACAGTTTGGAGGGAAACAGACTGAAGGGACTGTTTTGATTATAATTTAGATTAGAATCTGTTATGCAGCTACATACCTACATACTATTACACTGTTCCATTTGGAGTAAGCAATACTTTGCACACTGCAGAAAGGGAATACAGAACAAAGATATGAAAAACATAAGAAAAGATATAAACAACATAAATGTATTCATAAAATAGTATTCAATGTACCTCTCCTATATTTTTCCATCCTTCCTGTTTCTACCACATCCATAACCTGCTTCATTTATTTATTTTGGTTGTTTGAATTTCTCATGTCTTTGTTTTTGAGGGTCCCATTGTTCAATTTCAACTTCCTTTTACAAGATTGGACCATCTTCATTCACATTTGCTATATCCTTCCCTTAAATTTGAAGTGGCAGTCATACATCTGCCATGGTTGTCACCAGATGGACCCACAGATACTGACCTTTGCTGCCCGTTGTAGCTTTAGTCAATCAAGACTTAACAAGGTGCTTTTTATTTAGGTAGAAGAGTTGTAGATTTGGGTAGCAAACTTAATCATACCCTACCATATGCAGCATTTCCTCATAATAGTAAAAAGGGTACTAGTCATATCCAATGAAAATGAGTTCTTTCTCTAATCAGTTCTGTTGCTGAACTAGCCTTGTTTGCTGGCTGCCCATACCAACAGTGCTTAAATTTTTCAATGTGTCCTGATACTCCATATCAACAACACAGCAGTATGCAGAAAGTGCATATATACTAATGCTCAGCAAAACATACTATATAGAGGAACAGTGCCTCATGGAGTTTTTTATGTATGGCGTGGGAGACCAGATCAGCCCTAACTTGTTCACCGAATTACTAGGTTAACATACACAAATTGGATATCTTTCCCTGCATCTAGAAATCTGCCTAGATGAGGAAAAAACTCAAATAATGTCAAATCATTGTCATGACAGTTGATCCATCACTTTGGGGTAAGATGGGGTGAATCTATATGTATTCCACTAAAGCCATATTTGCACTAATTCCAGTTGTGAAATCCTCAAGATGATGTTAGTATGGGCTAAACCTTGCCTTTGTTTAGTTAGTCTTTGCTACCTCAGGAACCAACCTCAGATGTTTAGAATATGCTATGAGTTGGCCTGTGTTCATTTGTACAAAAATTAATGGTATGTCCATCCCTCAAATATACATAATGTTCCTCTTAGGGAGAACCCTAGCATGCTAGTTTAATTGATGGGGGGCTATGGGGGGGCTTACTTTCTCCTCTGTTTATGGGTTGACATGACATTAGGATTTTCTAACCCCAAAAGGGTTTCTGTTCAGCTTTAGCACATATATAGCTTCCCTCCCTCGGGCCATAGTCCTCTGATTCTCAGTTTTAATTTAAAAAAAGTCCCTTCTAGCAGAGTGACCTGTAATCATTACTTTTGTCTGTAAGACAAGCTACAATATTCCTCTTTTTTCAATTTATTTAATGACATTTTTTAATCACATTCTACACTGCAATCACCACACCCCTGAAAAATTCTTATAGATGCCCACAGCTATATTGGGATGATAAGCTATTTTACCCCATGCCATCTAAAAGAAATCTGTTTGCATTCGGCCTTCCCCAGGTTGACTGATTAGTCTCAAATTAGTTGATCTAAAGTACAGTGGGGCAAAAAAGTATTTAGTCAGCCACCAATTGTGCAAGTTCTCCCACTTA